TGTATCTCTCAGTATCTTTACCGGTACCTTCACATCACTCCCCAGCAATGAGACATGTCCAGTAGACACAAAACCTGCAAAAGCTGACTGTTCCAAGTCACAATCCACTCCAGGTTCCACCTGCTCGCCTGAAGGAAGAACACAGGGAGAAGTAACATGACTGACATTTCGGACAGGAGCAGCCAGTGCAACAGGCCTAACATGCGCACCACTGAACCCACTGTTGGAATTTGTTTTATTCGGGCATTCAGCCTTCCAATGACCCCTGCCCTTACAGTAATGACATGGGTCACTGGCCTCAACCTGCATCTGACTACGTGCGGCCCTTTCTGATTTACCATGCCGAGGCCCGGCTCCCTCCTCCCATCGTTTACCGGCTGGACGAAAATTACCGCCACCCCCTCTATACAGACCATCATCCCGAGGCCTGTGGTCACCACGGTGCGTCAACACATACTCGTCTGACAGAGTGGCTGCTTCTGCAGCTGTCTTCACTTTATGTTCACTTACATACGTAGCAATGTGACGGGGCACAGAATCTTTAAACTGCTCCAGAACTATCAAATCACACAGCGTGTCATAAGAATGAACCCCCAGTGAAGTACACCGAGTGAAGCGAGTAGTTAACTCCCTGGCAAACTCCATGTGTGTCTGTCTTCCAGACCTCTCCCAAGTCCTAAACCTCTGGCGATATGCCTCAGGCACCAACTCATAGGCTCTTAGGACAGCAGCTTTGACAGACACATAGATTCTACTTTCAGCCACACTGAGCGCAGAATACGCTTGCTGCGCCTTACCGGTGAGAACGCACTGTATGAGTAGTGTGCGGTCAATATCCGACCAATCCCTGCTCTCAGCTACACGCTCAAAAAGTGAGAAAAAGGTATCCGGGTCTTGTTCACAAAATGGAGGAACCAACCTCAAATTCACGTTAACATCAAAAGCACGTGATGGCCCAGCAGAACCAACTGCAACCTGCCTCACGCCACCAACATCACTTAAACTCAACCGTCGCTCTTCCAGTTCAAGTCTTTTAATTTCGACTTGCAACAAGAGTAACTCTTTGCGCTGCTCAAAAGTTAACTCTGGGACGTTACCCACCCGAGGTTCAATAGAAATGGATGCACCAAACATGTCCGCCACGACCCCACCAGCATGTAATTTAGACTGGAGAACCCCCACGTCAAACAGATTTTCCTTTAAAATGTTTTTCATGTTCTCCTTCAACCGCTTATCCCCCACATCCATCCCAAAATGCTCAGCAATTTTCACCAATTGCTCTCGTGAACACTAGTCCAATAACTCCTCTGATGGAGCTCTCAAAAAATCCTCAACAGAAGCCATAGCTTTTTTTTTTCTTTTTCCCTGCCCGAATCACAAAACGAAAGGTGCAAAAGGAAAACCTTTTAGGCTACACCGCAGCCAGAAATCAAACGGCCCATACACAGCTAAACATCACCGTAATCCCGTTCCTCTAACTGCCTAACCAGAACTAACTAAACTCCCCCCTAGTCTTCAGGTGCTACTTGTGGTGGGTACTTATGCACTAAAACCCAGAGGCTCGGTAAAGCAACCATGAACTGGCCACCCACCTGCAGCCTCGGACGTGCCCCCGAGACAACCGCTCTAACCACTTTCACACCACACTATAGAAACCCCCCAACGACCTCCAAGGGAGTCCGCTCTTCAGCCTAACAGGGACAGAACAACAGCAATTAACGCTGCGTGAAAAAAAAGGACCATCCAGACTCTGACACAAAATCACTAGCCTAACAGGTCGGCGACGCTCACACAAAATAAATTAGCCTACTTACCAGACTCAAATGTCTCCCAACAAGCAGATTGCGCAACCGCTCACACATAGCACTCAGCCTACAATGCTACAGCTGCTACTAATTTGAATTACTGCAGACACCAGGTCAATCAGAAGTGGACGAGCCCCCATATGTCACAGCCCGGCTTGTAGGCTGAGACAAAAACTGGGAGACAATGAGCTGGCGCCAAAAGTAGTCTTTTATTTATAATGCCAAAAGCACAAGGTCAGCAACCGTGGCAGCGAGCCCGTCAGCACAGGTCTTCCTTTTCCCCCCAGGGCTGCCAACTGGAAAGGTATTTAAGGAGGAGCCACGCCCCGGCACAGGTGAGACTCATCCTGGTAACGACCCTCCACTCAGCACCTGCAACAGATGGAAAAACCGGCACCTAGTGTATGACAGGAGGAGGGTCGTCACAATCTACAGTCAGATAGTTTAGTTCACTGGTTCCCAACCTGGAGGTCGGGGTCCTCCAGAGGGTCACCAGGTAATTCTGAGGGGTCCTGACGTGATTAATGGAAGAGAAGAAGAAGTCTAGTTTCGTCTTCTCTTCCATTAATCATGTCATTAATTCTGTTTTCAGTTTTTAGACTTTTCTTTAATGTTCGATTTTCACTATTGATCATAAATCATTTATTGAAATGAACCCATAACGTTTAGAGGACTTTGTCTTTGTGATTGTTGCACAACAATAGAATCAGATGTTTTATTGTGAGAGAAGACGTCATTAGAAACTGTTCACACTTTAAATGATACGTAGCAGGTGATTGGATGAAAGCAGCTGTCAATCAAACTCATTGAAGTCGATCAGCAGAAGAAAGAAAACATGTTTTATTTGTAAAAGTCTTCAGTTTCTTCCTCTGAGAGAACTGATGCTAACGTAGCAGCTACGCTAACCTCTTCAGGAGCCGCCATTGTTTACAACCAACCAACCAATCGTGACCTGGTGAGAATCCAGATGATGATGATGATGATGATGATATCAGAGACGTTTATGAAGATTCATTTGTAAACTTAGTATTTTGTCTGTAAAATGTTAAACTCCCCCCCCCTCTATCAGCAGTATTGATCCTCAGCATCACCTTCATCACAGAACAAAGTATCGAGTTGATGGAGCTTCGTCATCCAGCCTCTAAAAGCTTGTCCTCTCTGTAAACGTATTCATATTTAGTGAGTGAAGCTGCATTTCATTTGTATGGATCAGCTGAGGGTTCAAGAAGAATAGAGGGGGGGGGGTCTGTCTTTTATGATGTCCCTCTGAAATCTATCGGAATCCCATTAAATTGGATATAAAGATGTGCAGACACACACACATCCCAGTAAACGGTGGTGCAGCATCGCTCGCCAACAATCCCACCTCAACAATCGGGTTATAGCCGCGGCTTTAGATCCTATTAATAATTCACAACCTTGTTAGTGGAGAACAAACATTTGTGTTCCAGCTCTCCGAGTTGTGGGATTGTTATTACAGCTTCTGTGTGTGGAACAATAACTCTGAAGCTATTTCACACTCGCTGCTTTCTTTATTAAAGCAGCGTCACAGTAAACACGCCTGGCCTCGACTCAGCCGTTTACCTCCATCCTCTTCATCTTCTCCTCTTCCTCATCACACTGAGCCGTTTACCTCCATCCTCTTCTTCATCTCCTCTTCCTCATCACACTGAGCCGTTTACCTCCATCCTCTTCTTCTTCTCCTCTTCCTCGTCACACTGAGCCGTTTACCTCCATCCTCTTCTTCTTCTCCTCTTCCTCGTCACACTGAGCCGTTTACCTTCATCCTCTTCTTCTTCTCCTCTTCCTCATCACACTGAGCCATTTACCTCCATCCTCTTCTTCTTCTCCTCTTCCTCATCACACTGAGCCGTTTACCGCCATCTTCTTCTTCTTCTCCTCTTTGTCTGTCACACTGAGCCGTTTATCTCCATCCTCTTCTTCTTCTCCTCTTTGTCTGTCACACTGAGCCGTTTACCTCCATCCTCTTCTTCTCTTCCTCCGTCACACTGAGCCATTTACCTCCATCCTCTTCTTCTTCTCCTCCTCTTCATCCGTCACACTGAGCCATTTACCTCCATCCTCTTCTTCTTCTCCTCTTCCTCGTCACACTGAGCCATTTACCTCCATCTTCTTCTTCTTCTTCTTCTCCTCTTCCTGTCACACTGAGCCATTTACCTCCATCCTCTTGTTCTTCTCCTCTTCCTCTGTCACACTGAGCTGTTTACCTCCATCTTCTTCTTCTTCTTCTCCTCTTCCTCCGTCACACTGTGCCGTTTACCTCCATCTTCTTCTTCTTCTCCTCTTCCTCCGTCACACTGAGCCATTTACCTCCATCCTCTTCTTTTTCTCCTCTTCGAACGTCACACTGAGCCGTTTACCTCCATCCTCTTCTTCTTCTCCTCTTCGTATGTCACACTGAGCCGTTTACCTCCATCCTCTTCTTCTTTTCCTCTTCCTCCGGCACACTGAGCCGTTTACCACAATTCTCTTCTTCTTCTCTTCCTTCGTCACACTGAGCCGTTTACCTCCATCCTCTTCTTCTTCTCCTATTCCTTCATCACACTGAGCCGTTTTCCTCCATCTTTTTCTTCTCCTCTTCCTCCGTCACACTGAGCCATTTACCTCCATCCTCTTCTTCTCCTCTTCGTCCGTCACACTGAGCCGTTTACCTCCATCTTCATCTTCTCCTCTTCCTCAGTCACACTGAGCCATTTACCTCCATCCTCTTCTTCTTCTCTTCCTCCGTCACACTGAGCTGTTTACCTCCATCCTCTTCTTCTTCTCCCCTTCCTCCGTCACACTCACCCGTTTACCTTCATCCTCCTCCTCTTCCTCTAACAAAGTACTAATTATAGAAGTATTTCTACTTTTTCTCCTCATTTCTTTGTAACAATAAATAGTTTCTAAATATATTAAACAAATGGAAATAATGTGTTAATGATGTGATTTAAAGATCATAACACAATAAATGTCCTCCTCACTGTAACCATAGCAACCTTTAATGTCTTCTGTCAAAATACATAAATAAATAACAAATAATAAATAACAAATAATAAATGATCAAAGATGAAGTGAATGTAAGTTTGAATGTAGATTTTATTTTATTTATTGGCTCAATAAAACAAATAAAATAGAAAGAATCATGAGAAAATACATAAAATATATTTTACAATCAATAACATTTATGTTCACAGAAGAAGAAGAAGAAGAAGAAGAAGAAGAAGAAGAAGAAGAGCAGCAATGCATATTTAGTTTAAAAATACATCTGAGAAGATCTGAGATCTGTGACCTCACTGATATAATAATAAAGTTCATGACATCATCAATGTGCTCAACACTCAGTCTCCACTGAGAGATTATGTGCTGTGAGACAGCTCCTCCTGCTGGTGGAGACACACTCACTCACACACACACGCACTCACACACACACTCTCACACACACACACACACACACACACAGACTTAAAGAAGATAAAAAGTGTTAAAGTAGACTTTTCTTGGTCTCCATCAGTCACATGAAGCTTCATCCTCTGATCCCTTTGCTGGTTATCGACGATGATGAAGATGATGAAGATGAAGATGAAGAAGATGATGAAGATGATGATGATGAAGAAGATGATGAAGATGGTTCAGTGTCTCTGCCTGAGGACTTCCTGTCCCACGATGATGCTGCTGTACTTCTTCTGCTGCTCCTCTTTAAAGGACTCCTTCACTTTATCTCTCTTCAGTCCTCCGTCCCTGAAACACATACACGTCTTTACTGTAGTACAAACTGCAGTACAAGCTGTAGTAATAGACTGTGAAAGTACAAGTACATCATCAGCACTATGTACTTAATGAGCTACTCATGATGCAGAATAATATATATTATATTAAGTACGATATCTGTCCATGAAGTGAAGTGAAGTAGAAGTACAAAGGGACATAAAGTTGTACTTAAGTAAAGTACTTAGCCATTACAAGTGTAGAGCAGTATAATGAAGTAATATTTAGTAGTATTTAGTAGTATTAGTACTCACCACGCTAAGTCCAGCAGTCCTCCCTGATGAGCGATGGCAGATTTCACTCTGTTGGCAAACTGAGCTGCATCCTCACCGTCCTGAACACATTATACACATTATACACAAAGAGTACACAGAGTACACAAATAGTACACACAGAGTACACACATTAAGTTTTAACAGTGCAGGTTTACGTTTCTACATTCCATCTTTATGTTATCTAGATAATTATTTAGCATTTTGAAGACGCAACACATTTTTCCATGTGTGTGTGTGTGTGTGTATATATATATACAGTATATATATACATATTTATATAGATATATATATTAGTGGTGGGCAACGATTACGATTTTTAATCGCGATTAATCTCATTGTTATGGCAAACTTCAACAATGAATTATAAAGTAGTGTATTGTGCACTTTTATTTTAAAGTACTGCTATATGACCAACAGGTCAATAACATTTTGTTTGTAAACACTTTAAACACATCAGGTTGTTGTTAGCAGCAGTATTCCCTTTACACAGCAGCAGTTATAACACAGTTATAATGATTCTGATCATAGATATTCAGCCGGTGTTCATAACTTTATCTTCATGTGTGTAAGAGATGATATTTAAATATACTTCTTGAAAACTGCAAACCTATCTACGTCATGTTTTTATTTTGTTTGTTAAATTCTCAGTAGTGATACTAAATGATGCTTATTATACATATTACAAACAAAACACTTTAAAAACTCTAAAACACTTTAAAAACTCTAAAACAATCATTTAAATGAATCATTTATTTTTTACTTTTTTTGGTATTGTGGTCAGACACATGCAACGCTGATTACCGTAATATGTGTGGTATTTGTTATAAATGTACGTTGGTACATAGAGGGTGATAAGAAGCTGTACATGGAGGGACTTAGGACCCAGGGGAATCTAGGTGAAGGAAACAGGAAGAGACGGAAGAGACGCCACACAAACAGCTGTTCACTGCTTGCTGCCGGCCGGTGTAACAGGTGAAGTGGTGTAACAGGTGAAGTGGTGTAACAGGTG